TTAAGCACAATAGACGACATAGGCGCCCGCAGAAGGGGCAAGAGGGGCATTTGTCTCCCTTACATTTCACAAAAACATTGCACGTGTTATGATGCAAACTTAGCATCGTAGTTAAACTAAATATTTTTAGTAATTTTCATTAAAACTGTAAATTTGTGTTTATGTCTAAGCACACATAACACATATTGACTTATACTGTAAAAGCTGATCCCCTACACACATGTTTTGCCTCTCTCTAGAAAATACTTCTGTGGGCGCCCGTGATAATTTCTGCTGTGTTCAGTGCGGGCATCGAAACCCGGTTTTTAGCGTCGTTATCCTGTAGACTTACCGTTGAGCCACTGAGGGAGGGTTGGTGTTTCGAAACTTATCCAAAACTTGTTTTTAAGATTAATTTAAGGAAGGTCAAGTTGTAACTATTAAACACATTTATGAACACATATTAAAAAACAAAAAAATAGTGGTTAGTTTTGTTTTGGCTGTTGTACGTGTATGTTGATTATCTAGTTTGCATAGACAGCAACAAAATTGGGATTTATCTGAAGAGTTTCGTGAAGTTTATGTTTTGATGATTCACATGTTTGAGTTTTGTTTTATCTGGAACATGGATAATATTTCATGTATTTTTCATCACCAACATATATTCTTCATAGACTCAGAATAGTTTAAAATTTTAACTTGGTAGTAAATTATGAAATTAACATCTTACTTAAAGTGGAAATGAACAAATAAACCGTAGCAGGTTCAAAGAAAAACTTCGTACGATGATGATTAACGTTACGATTTCCAGACTTCTATTAACGATTCCTACCTGTAGATGGCGGTAATTCATCTTAAGACAATAATTGCAAATTATGCGATTTACAATTTACGCATTAGGTGGGCGGAGTCAACAAAGTTGTATTGAACAGTGAAAGGTCAGCGTCAATTCAAAGTGGTCACTAATTTTCTTCATCGATAAAACTCAATGGTCAGAGTATCATCATTCAATATTCTTTAATTGAGCGAAAGATGCTGTACACAACAAAGACCGTGATTAACAGTTTAAAGGGAACAAAAAACCTTATTTAAAGAACGAACTGGTAAAAGTTTGAGTTAAAAGAATGTTAGGAAATATAAAACATATTGTGCATGGTGTCAAGTGTTTATAATTCTCTTGACCACAGTGTTTCTCGGATAATACAAACCACTTAAAACCCTTCAATTAATATTGCTATTTATAAGTCGTATGACCGCAATCTTTCTTGGACAATTCAAAGTTCATTATGCATTTTAGTTAATTTTGCTGGTATTCTTTGCATATTAAAAATAATTGTTTTATCGCAAGGGGGTCAGTATTATCCGTAGAATTTTATACAATTCAAACACAAGCTAAATATGAAACATTTTAGAAGTTTTACTCAGTTTACAAATCAAGATACTATCCGCTAATATACATGGTACCACGAAGCTTCGTAAACTGAAAAGTTGGTTTTTGTACTTGTAATATGATAACACACGTATTAAAAATTAAACGAATTAAACTGAAAATTTTTGAAAGATGATTTAACACACTTTTGGAGATTTGGTTAATAAAATGATTTGATATTATAAATGATCTTGCACGTATTTCGAATGTTACGAAGCGTCACATTGTCGTTCGTGGTGCTCCGCTAAATCCAATAAAACGGTTAAAATAACAACACACAAACAAGCACGATAGTACAAAACTGAGAAATGCTAAGTTGTGTAATGCAAGCACTTCTTAAGGGTTACCAATTACAACAATACTCCTCTTCCGTATAGAACTTTTCTGTACGTTAAAATACTTAATTTATGAGCTTTCGGCCCTCTTTTGGGAGCGTTTCGGTTTTCTTACTGCAAGAGAAAAGCATTTTAACGTAGAGAAAAGTCTGTGTATAATTCTACATATTAATTTACCTATGTTACGATTAAAAATAACAAAAAAAACTTCTATTTTTGGAACTCTCGTAATTTATTCGAAATGTTATTGTTGGAGCTAGTGCCATCTAATGTTAAAAACCCAAACTAAATGTGAGCGTTAATATTACAACAAATTCAAGAAAATAAATTTCTCTTTCGTCGTTGTTACATCTTGCTTTCATGAATAGCATTCATGAGGTAAAATGAAAACAAGTCCATGCCTAACACTTAATGTTCTGATAATTCAAACTAAATATTGAACGGGATGATGTCAACCGACATATTGGTAAATGTGCTCAGTCAGGGCTATCTGCGTTAGCCGTCCCTAATTTTGAATTGATGGGATTCTTTGTTTGTTTGTTAGGAATTTCGCGCAAAGCTACACGAGGGCTATCTGAGCTAACCGTCCCTAATTTAGCAGTGTAAGACTAGAGGGTAGGCAGCTAGTCATCATCATCCACCGCCAACTCTTGGGCTACTCTTTTACCAACGAATAGTGGGATTGACCGTCACGTTATAACGCCCCCACGGCTGAAAGCGCGAGCATGTTTGGTGTGACGGGGATTCGAACCCGCGACCCGCAAATTGCGAATCGAGCGCCCTAACCACCTGGCCATGCCGTGCCAGAATTGATGGGAAGGCAGCTAGTCAACATAACCTACCGCCAACTCTTGGGCTACCTTTCTTTAAACGAACTATGACCACGCAAAACCCGTAAATTCTTTACATCATGGACGTTGATGTGTGCGAGACAGTAGATCTGTATTTTGTTTGATTGTAATTTAGTATCTGTTTGGTCCGCAGTGCATAAAACATATAAATCCAGAATTAATGCGAGTAGAATATAATTCCATTTAAGCATGGAAAACGGTATTGGATTGCCGCTGATGTGTATTACAGCAAAGCTCAACAATGGGGTATCTGCGCTCTGTCGAACACGGGGAATCGAACCCCGTATTTTAGCGTTGTAAATCCGTTAACTTATCGCTGACCCACCGAGGTACAATAATCCTTGAAAAAAATAAAATAAAACTTTTGACGACGGACACAGTTAGCAGAGTGGCTGATTTTTACATTCTTTTCAGTGTATGTAACCTAGCCCCCATCTTTAGTGGTTGGTTTACTTTCACAAAAGATAAACATATTTAGTTTTTTAACGCTAGATGGCACAACGTAGCGTTAACATGAAATAAAAAATATCGTTGCCCATCAAATGTTCGTGATAATGTATAGAACGTGGAATTCTTAAAATTCAACGCAAAAACAAAACAACACATAACTTAACGTCAAAAGTAAGAACAGTTTTAGAGATTGTAAGAGCACGGGTTAAATTTAACTCTTAATAAAAATTAAAACATTAGGATTACGAACGAAGAAATCACTAAGAGTGGAGGTGCCCAGATGACAGATCAAAAAAATCTTAATCATTATCTGTTTTATGACATTACATACTCCTAGTTAGACAGGGATACTAATCAGTTGGTGAATTTTTATTTTTGAGCTATGTAGTTATTTTGTTTTGATCAGAAGCTAATCACAATACTCAAATAATATGTAAAGAAAAGACAGAAATTAAGCATAGACGTTATTCCAGAGACAGAAAGTGAGTGACAGTACATGAAGCAAATTACTAGTATTTATGTGTCTTGTTAGGTGTTATTGGGATTACGACCGAAAACATGGATAGCAGCGACGGTTGATGAATAAGTGATTACTAGTAATTTAAATTGTTGTTTTTATTATTTTTTTATATTACAAGTAATTTTAGTTGGACCGATATATAGAATTATTTAATTTTACTTACCACTTTATTTCCTAGTTCTGTTCTATGCAGTTAGCTTATTTTGATCGGAGGTTATTGATAGCTCCACCTAGTGACTTAAAGTTAAAATACAGAACAAAAATGTTAAAGCGTATATTTGAAAGTTTGTAGAAAAAAAAGGAAATTGACAATAAAAATTTCCAGTCTATAAATTATAGTAAATTCAAATAAAACAGAAACAGCTTTGCATTCGAATAACCTTTATTGAAAGTGTAGCTCATACACATGGATTTTCAGATATACATATATATATATATAAGTTTAAAAAGTGTTTTATTTACATCAATGTGTGTAATTCTCCATCTTCTGGCCTTGATTTTTCGAATGACACAAGCGTAACTTGACACAAATCTTTAAATTCTAAATGAATGATTCAAGGAAACAAATCACTTCGAAAAATCTACTGAAGTTTTAAAATAGTAGCCTCTAAACATCACCAGTCTTGCTCTCTCTGAAAAAAGTTCTTTCTCTTTCGCACTACTTCTAAATTTACATCTGTAATTTTTTATATGCAAATGAATATTATATTTAATTTTCATAATTAAACAAAAACGTACTACCAGTTACAGCGACTATGTATGATACGTCATAGTTTCGAAAAACAAACACTCACACACACACAAACGCGAAGATAGTTAAAAATAGGCTTAACACGACAGTTTCAGAAAAAACCCAAAGGTAACTAAAAGTAGGCTTAAGCAAGGCTTGACACTAAGTGCGTCTACTCGAAGCATCGACCAATAAACGTTTTTCAGTTAGATGATTTTATTTTGATTATTTATTAATGGGGCAGGTTAAAGTTCTGGAGTTTTTTTTTTATGTCGTCCAAAGTGATGTCATTCACGTGAACCAGCTTAGTAGACTCTCTTGATGATATATATAGTTAGTATACTTTCTTGACGATATATATATGTTTAGATGTTCTCTATTAATGATATTATATTTCAGGGCAAATTTTCTTATAATTATCCCGAAAGAGGACCGAAGACCGCCTGGAGAGGTCACCTGTTTAAACTACTCGCACCACGATACAGTAGTGTGTTGTCTGTCAGTTAGTCATTAGACACTAAAATGACGTCACATAAGGGACACTTCACTTTGCCATTTTATACTGTCGTGACGTCAGTAAAACTTGCGCATATCATGAATCACGAGAAGAATTATATGCACTCTGTAGGCTATAACACAACATGACATATGAACTTCAAAAGCAAGAAATAAAAATATTTGTAACTCTTAATTTTGGTTTATTTTCTCTGGAAACAGAACACTTTCGGGGACCCCGCGGAAGTACATCTAGTTTATAGTTTAAGGTATACTTTCTTAACGATATTTTTAGGTAAAAACCCCTTAATGATATTTTTAACAAAATATTATATTATTGTTAGGAATTGATCAGTTATCGTGATTATTATTGTTTTGTAAATAACATATTTCTGTTTCATCTTCCCGAAATCCAATTATCCGAACACTGTCAGATTATAAACCTTCGTCCTTCAGAGGTCGTCCCCCTTAGATCAGTGGTGGACAGAGTCAGATAGCTTTGCACCAATATAAGAACTACAAGTTGAGATGTTTGTCTTCTGACAGCGCTTGGTTTATCAGGTTTCTTGAATTGTGTTTAATCTACGTATTTGATCATATTTGTAAACACGAAAATAACTCTGTGACTGTTTTAGTTAACTTCTAGCTGTAAGATGAAATTAGAGTTTCTGCGCATGTTCTTGAAAATGGTGGAAAAGAAGAACTGAAATGAAATCCAGGTTGAACACTCATAAAAACAGTCACAAATGATAACGTACAAAAGTATCACTACACATAACAGATAGATACATACACAGTATCGTGTCAAGTAACCTAACGTTTAAATCCACTATTAAGGAACAAGACCTAATTTATAAGGACTCAGGTCTCGACACTTTCAAGTATCCTCTGAAATCAAAGTGTTTGATTGTCAGAGAAATATGAACACTCACTAACAAACGTTACACTGAAGAGTTTGTTTGTTTTGTTGTTAAGCCCAATGGGCTATCTGTACTGCCCACCATGGGTATCGAAATCCGGATTTTAACGTTATAAGCCTTCAGACTTACAGCTGAAGGGGGGAGGAGGAATGTTTCGTTTGCTTAATTGCATTAGAGCAAAGCCACATTGGGTTGTATGCTGTGTCCACTGCGGGGAATCGAACCCCGGATTTTACCGTTGTAAGCACGTAAACTTATATCCGTATAAATTTGGCATTGTTCCATAGCAGTGGTCTTAAACTCTATTTTGTCATCCCACACTTTCTGACTGGACGTCATCATTAACGTCATCAGCTCTTTATCCAATCACACGTTTTAGGAGTTAATTTTTGTAAACATCTTGTTGAGCACTTGCTTCATTTGTTGAGCTGAGCTTCGTCGTCTTCTCATACTGTTAACCATTCTCCTACGCACTACGTCACGGTGTAGCTCCTTGAAGGCCTCGCCTACGGCGTCGCCACCATCACAGGCGCTACATTCGAAGAAACAGCACGAGAGCTCCACGGCAAGCTGTTCGGCTTCTTCCTGCTCAACCTTACGCTCGTGCGTGAGATCATTCTTATTCCCCACCAGGACACAAGAGAAGTTTTGGGTTTTCTTGACAGAAGCAATATGCTGGTGAAGATGGAGGATATCCTCGAAACTCCCCCTATCGGTCGTACTGTACACAAGAAGAAATCCTTCTCCCCAGTTGATATTACCATCTTGAAGAATATTTTCTCCCTGTAAAACGTGATAAATAAAACATCTTAATTGTTACTCTAAAATATATTTTACTTTTGTTTAGGTTAGGCTTAAAGAAACATTTACACTGTTACTACGTTCGTAAACAAACACAGTATATCATAAACACTGGCCTAAGTAATATATATATTGTTGCGTCAGCGAGTCACATGACCA